AATCTATTCTTCGGCGCTCGGCCTTCCTTATAGTCCAGCTCTCGCAGCCATACATGACTACTGGGAATACCATTGCTTTGACCATGCGGACTTTTGTTGGCAGGGTGATGTCTCTACTTTTTATCATGCTGTTTAGGTTCGCCATCACTTTCCTCCCAAGGAGCAGACGTCTTTTAATTTCATGCTGAGGTTGTTGATCTTTTCCCCAGCAATCTTAATTCCCGCTTGTGATTCATCCAGGCCAGCATTTCGCATGATGTACTCTGCATATATATTAAATAAGCAAGGTGACAGTATACATCCTTGTCGTACTCCTTTTCCTATGCTGAACCAATCAGTTGTTCCGTATCCGGTTCTAACTGTCGCTTCTTGGCCCTTATACAGGTTTCTCAAGAGACATGTGAGGTGGTCTGGTACTCCCATCTCTTTAAGGACCTGCCATAGTTTGTTGTGATCCACACAGTCAAAGGCTTTAGCATAGTCAATGAAGCAGAAGTAGATATTTTTCTGGTACTCTCTTGCTTTCTCCATAATCCAGCGAATGTTGGCAATATGATCTCTCGTTCCTCTACCTCTTCGAAACCCAGCTTGTACTTCTGGTAGTTCTCTATCCACGTACTGTTGAAGCCTAGCTTGTAGGATCTTGAGCATGACCTTGCTAGCGTGTGATATGAGTGCAATTGTGCGATAGTTTGAACATTCCTTGGCATTGCCCTTCTTTGGGATTGGAATGTATACTGATCTTTTCCAATCCTGTGGCCACTGTTGCGTTTTCCAAATTTGCTGGCAAATGGAGTGCAGAACTTTAACAGCATCATCTTCTAAGACTTTGAATAGCTCAGCTGGAATACCATCACCTCCACTAGCTTTGTTGTTAGTAATGCTTTCTAAGGCCCATTTAACTTCACATTCCAGGATGTCTGGCTCAAGGTCAGTGATTATACCGTCGTGTTTGTCAAGGACATTGAGGTCTTTCTTGTATAGTTCTTCTGTGTATTCTTGCCATCTTTTCCTAATCTCTTCTGCTTCTGTTAGGTCCCTACCGTTTTTGTCCTTTATCATGGCCAGCTTTGCATGGAACGCTCCCTTGATTTCTCCAATTTTCTTGAAGAGATCTCTAGTCCTTCCCATTCTATTGTTTTCTTCTATTACTTTGCACTGTTCATTCAGGAAGGCCTCCTTATCTCTCCTTGCTGTTCTCTGGAAATCTGCGTTCAGTTGGGTAAATCTTTCCTTTTCGCCTTTGCCTTTCGCTTTCCTTCTTTCCTCTGCTATTTGTAAAGCCTCATCAGAAAGCCATTTTGCTTTCTTGCATTTCTTTTTCTTTGGTATGGTGGTGATTGCTGCCTCCTGTACGATGTCACGAACCTCTGTCCATAGTTCTTCAGGCACTCTATCTATCAAATCCAGACCCTTGAATCTATTCTTCACCTCTACTGTATATTCATCAGGGATGCGATCTAGGTCAAACCTGAATGGCCTCGTGGTTTTCCCAATTTTCTTCAGTTTAAGTCTGAATTTTGCAATGAGTAGCTCATGATCTGAACCACAGTCAGCTCCAGGTCTTGTTTTTACTGACTGGATAGAGCTTCTCCATCTTTGACTGCAAATTATATAGTCAATCTGATTTCGGTGTTGCCCATCTGGTGATGTCCATGTGTAGAGTCGCCTCTTAGGTTGTTGGAAAAGGGTGTTCGCTATGACCAGTGTGTTCTCTTGACAAAACTCTGTTAACCTTTGCCCTGCTTCATTTTGCTTTCCAAGGCCAAACTTGTCTGTTATTCCAGTTACCTTTTGACTTCCTACTTTAGCATTCCAGTCCCCTATGATGATGAGGACATCATTTTTTGGTGTTAGTTCTAGGAGGTGTTGTAGGTCTTCATAGAACCGGTCCACTTCAGCCTCTTCTGCATCAGTGGTTGGGGCATAGACTTGGATTACTGTGATGTTGAATGGTTTGCCTTGGAATCGGACAGAAATCATTCTGTCATTTTTGAGATTGTATCCCAGTACTGCCTTTTGCACTCTCTTGTTGACTATAAAGGCCACACCATTTTTTCTACGAGATTCCTGGCCACAGTAGTAGATATAATGGTCTTCTGAGTTAAATTCGCCCATTCCTGTCCCCTTTAGTTCACTGATTCCTAGGATATCGATGTTCAGTCTTGCCATCTCATTTTTGACCACGTCAAGCTTACCTTGATTCATAGATCTTACATTCCAGGTTCCTATGCAGTATTGTTCTTTGCAGCATCGGACTTTCCTTTCACCATCAGACACATCCACAACTGAGCGTCCTTTCGGCTTTGGCCCAGCCGCTTCACTCTTTCTGGGGTTACTTGTACTTGTCCTCTGCTCTTCCTCAGTAGCATATTGGACACCTTCCGACCTGAGGGGCTCATCTTCCGGCGTCATATCTTTTAGCCTTTTGATACTGTCCATGGGGTTTTCTTGGCAAACATACTGGAGTGGGTTGCCATTTCCTTCTCCAGGTGGATCACGCTTGGTCTGAGTTCTCTGCTGTGGCCTGTCCGTCTTGGGTGGCCCTTCACGGCATAGCCCACAGCTTCATTGAACTGCGCAAGCCCCCTCGCCACGACAAGGCAGTGATCCATGAGGGGGAACAACAAAGTAGTCCTTCACTATTTGAATAATTAAAGGAATCAAATCCATATTTAATGTATAATTTCTTTTCCACTAAGAATAAATTAAGAAAACCAAGACTAGTAGGGAAAAAAATGAAATTACATGCTAACTTTCTGGCCTGATACCTCTCCACCAGGAGAAATTACAGTGAGTAAAGCAAATGAGATAGAGAGAGGAACTGGTGGCATCAGTGGTTATAAAATCATGTGGAGATGGAGGGGGTGAGGTTTGTTGGAGAGCTAAATGGGCTATAGCGGTCTATGTGCCAATGCAAGAAGCCTGAGCCACACAGCCAGGAGAAATGGAGTCAGGATTGCCTGGAAAGGTGCTTCCCATCTACCTCTGTCCTAGCAGTGCAGCCAGGAGAAAGGGGGGTGGTATCACCAGGGAAGATGTTTCCCAGCTGAGCCTCTGCAGAGAAGGCTGTCCCCACCAGCAGGGAGATCCACTTTCTCCTGGGAGATCCCATGCACACTTTCTCTGCTCACTGTGGCTAGGAGAAGAGTGGAAGGGAGAACCCCCACTTCCTCTCGGGAGATTCCATCCTTTCTCCTGCCCATGTGGCCAGGAGACAGGGAGATGCAATGCTTCTTCCCCAGCGATCCCGCCTCTTTTTCTGCTGGCTGCACAGTAAGGAGAGGGGGAGATGGGATGCCTCTTCCCCAGCCCAGCTGTCTTGGGCTCACTCATTTAAAGGGCAAGCTGGCAGCTGTCTCTGGCTCCCTGGCATAGCTCCTATAAACAGGCTGCACCAGCAAGCCTGAGACATCTGGATCAGTGTGGAGATGGCTCTCTGTGCTAGCTCAGCTGCCTGTGGCTCCATGGTGCCCACAGCTCTGTTGGTGGGGAAAGATCTCACTCTCCCAGCTGCAGGCTCCCTCATTCAAGCCGAGTTTAAAGGGGCTGCAGGAGAGAGCCCAAGAGTGCTGAGCTGGCGGGGAGAGCTGTCTGTACCAGGGAGCCCACAGCTGGGCTGGTGGGGAGAGCTCTCCCTACCAGCTCTGCTGTCTTGGGGTCCCTCCTGCTGTCCCTTAAAACCAGTCTGTACAAGGGAGCCCACAAATCAAATAAATCAAATCAACTGAGAACTCTCCCTGCCTATCAGCTGTTGGTTTAAATAGCTCCAAGCCATTTAAACCCTGCTTTCTGCTCCCCATGAAAAGCCATAAGCAGCTTAAAGCAGAGTTTAAATGGCTCCAAGTCATGTAAACCAAACAGCTGAGCACCGGGGATCTTCCAGCCCCTCAGCTGTTTCTCATGAAAAGCAGAAAGCTGCTCTTCACAAAGTGTCACAAACAACCTGCTCTTCACAAAGTGTCACAAACAACCATGAACTGCCCTTCAAATTTTGGAGAAGTTCGTTGTGGTTCGTCAGTTCACAAACCTCAGTTTGCAAACTCCAAACTGGTGAAGTTCGTGATGAGCTTTGGTTCATCAGCTGGTTTGTTCCCATCCCTAGTGATGGCTAAAGGCATAGATGGCTTTAAAAGCTAATTAGACAGATCCATGGAGGATAGGTGTATCAGTGGCTATTAGCCATGTTGACTAAAGGGAACCTCCACATTCAGAGACAGTAAGCTTCTGAACACCAGTGCTTGGAGGCAACTTCAGAAGATGGCCTTAGCTTCTTTGTGCTGTTGTTGGCCCTCTAGAGGAACTGGCTGGACACTGTGAGAGACAGGATGCTGGACTAGATGGACCACTGGTCTGGTCCACCATGGCTCTTATATTCTTATTGTTTGAACTTATTTCTGAACTGACCAAATCAGATCTCTCAGTAAGGGGAAGTGGTTTTCTTACCCTAATTCCCAGAGCAGTGGGATTTCACCAGCAGCTTCAGATGGCAGAATTTATCATTGCCTTTGATATAGAGAGCCCTGTAATGGTAACTGGTTTGGTTCAGGGCTTGTGGAGACAAGAGAATCCCATGATGAAGTTGCAGCATTGCTACAGTTTGCAGGGTCAGCACCTCCCATCACCTGGAAGTAGCGACAATTCTGCTTCCATAAGATGGAGCCACGCCTGCTGATGATTAAAGTTTGAGTGGAGCTGCATTGATGGAAGGTCAGGCTGGATTTTGCCTTGCAGAGACCTGTCTCCTCTCCCTATGACAGCTGTGAATACTACTAAAATAGATATGTTGTACAGGCAATGTCAGGCTGGAGAATGAATGACAGATATTACATAACAGATTTTTTTGTAAAGAGCAAAGCAAAGCTACCATGATAAAACTGGAAATGCTGATAGATTTGGAAGGCTCTTCTTCAGTCCCAAGAACATGTCTCCTCCTCCTTTGACTACCTAACCAACATCAGCCGCAACAAATGTCCTTCCCTTTTATCTCATTTCTGCAGGTACACCAAGATGAAAACAGCCACTAACATCTACATCTTCAACCTGGCCCTGGCTGATGCCTTGGCCACCAGCACACTGCCTTTTCAAAGTGCAAAATACCTCATGTCCACCTGGCCATTTGGGGAGCTGCTCTGCAAGGTGGTCCTCTCAATCGATTACTATAACATGTTCACCAGTATCTTTACCCTCACCATGATGAGTGTGGACCGGTACATAGCTGTCTGCCATCCAGTTAAAGCCTTGGATTTCCGGACCCCAGCTAAAGCCAAGCTTATCAACGTTTGCATCTGGGTGCTCTCTTCAGTTATTGGGGTACCCATCATGATTATGGCTGTCACCAAATCAAAAGGCAAGTGGCTGTACCCACATTCTATGCTGTCCTCCTCTGTGGCATCTTGATAGTACAAAGTAGCCACTATCCCCTTGGGGCAAGTGGATTTCCACCACCACCACGCCATTCATTTATCTTTTCTTTCCTTCTGAATTCTAAAAATAAAAGTTTCTAAAAGGTAAAAGGTAAAGGTTCCCTTGCTCGAAAGCCAGTCGAATCCGACTCGAGGGTTGCAGTGCTCATCTCCGTTTCCAAGCCAAAGAGTCAGCGCTGTCCGAAGACGTTTCTGTGGTCATGTGGCCGGCATGACTAAACACCGAGGCGCACGGAATGCTGTTACCTTCCCACCGAAGTGGTACCTATTTATCTATTTGTAGTGTCTTGGTTTTGAACTGCTAGGTTGGCAGGAGCTGGAACTAGAGACGGGAGCTCACTCCATCACGCGGCACACTTGGGTCTCAAACTGCTGAACTACCGACCTTCCACAGCCTGCAGTTCAGCGTCTTAACCACTTGAGCCACCGCAGTTTCTAAACTTAATCCCAAAACTAGAGCACATGCCATTGGCTGCAACTTTCCATTATTTCAGTTCACTTACATTTTTCCTTCCTCTACATTGCCATTGTGCATATGTGCATTTGGATACAATGCTGCAAAAATGATGTGATATAATGGCATCATCTTTTGCATGATGTTTTACTAGCTCTTGCACAATAGTAACATGCCGCACAAGAAGAATCTTGGACCCAACATAAATGTATTCACAAGAAGTTTGCTCCTCCGCCATTAATGTGAGAAACCAAAAGTTGTTCCCAATTGCACATTAGCAACACACTGCCTATAATGTAGTAATTTAAAAACAAAATGGAACCGGAAAAGTCCTAATTCATCAGTTCCATTGTGGGGTTTTTTTTGCAACAGATGCTTACCCTTTGTAAGTAAAATGAAATTCTCAACACATCAAATAGAAAGTCAGTATGGTGTAGTGCTGAATAATATGCTCAATACTAGGATCTGGCGGCCTGTATTCAAGTTATCGCACTTCCATGAAACTTTTTTGAGACCTTGCCCATAAAGAAACTGAATAGTATTGTCCTATAAAGAAATGGAATGAGACTTCCTATAGTTGTTCTTTGTTCCTGAGGAAGGACCAGAAGTCTGAAACACTGAATACTACCTAGGAAAAGTGTTGGATATCTACTCTGGACTTTGTATTTTCCTATGATGGATTATATGTATAGATTCATTCTTGATTACATGAGCATTTCACTTTGTTGAAGTCTCCTTTTGGATATATATTTTTGCGGGTAACTCAGCTCACGGTTGTTTTATGTTGTTATTTGCTAAATAACAAAACTGAACAAGTAACAACATTTAAAAATCAGTTCTAATCTATCTCTTATAAGATAACACCATATTTAAATGTCTTGACATATTTTTTTCACACAGAAGGAGGGAAGCACTACCCCACACCTATGAGGACTTTTGGGGGTAAAATTAATCAAATTATACTGTATGGTGCCAGAGGATGGGTAGAAGCTATATCTGAGACTATTGGTTCCTTCTTATTAAAATTCCTGAGAAAAATAACCAGGTTACCAAAGTGTGTGTTCAGCAGAGCCGGAGCTTCCATAAGGCAGGGTTAGGCAGTGGACTAGGGTGCCAAATGAGAAGGGCACCCCGCCTGCTGCCCTGCCCCCTCCCCATGCCCTGTGCCAAAAGCCCTGCTCCGTTGCAAGGGGCCATCTTGGCCCCTGGGCTTGGCCTGCCGGTGAGGCAGGAATTGACGGTACTCCCCCTGCTGCGCTCCTGGAGAGGATGCCGCCACTGCCACCACCACGATGGAGCCCTTCTTCACCGAGGCGAGCAGGAGCCGATAAGCAGAGCCCAAGCCGGCTTCCTCGGGAGCCAGTCCCCAGTAGTGGGCAAGGCACCTGGTGTGGCCTGGGGTGTGCGGCGCATGGGAGCTAGCTCCTCCTGAGGAAATGCACCTCAGAGCTGGGGCAGGGGGCCCGGGGGAGGAAGGAGAGATGGAGAGAGGAAGGCTTTTCCATCTGGAGGCGCCCAAAGCCATGGGGTTGGCTGTCTGCACATGCCTCAGACACGCGTGTGTGTCTGAATCCCCCACAGCCTTGATTCCTTCACCGCCTCCTCTGAAGCTGGGGGGCGACCCAAGGCCACACCTGCCGGCCAGCCCACTCACTCTCCCTCAGGCTCTGCTTGAAGTCGGGGGCACCACGGCGGCGCCAGTCAAAGTGGGCACAGTAGGCCAGCAGAGTCAGACTACAGGTGCCCACACCAGCAGCAGGCCTGGCCATGGCCACTGGCTCATGAGGGAGAGGGGAGGAGGATGGGCTCCTTCTCCCCCTCAGGGCACAGAGAGGGACGGAGGGTGGGCACTCCAGCCAGCTTCCAGTGCCTATCTGGACCGAACACTTAGCCGATGATCCAAACATGTGCCGGGAGTTTCCCCCCTCGAGATTTAAACATGCTGAGGGCTCTGGAGTACACGGGACTCCCCGCACACGGGTGGATGTGCACATGAGGAAGCCTCCTCTCCCTCCTTCTCTCTACACTGTTTTTCTCATAAAAATAGGCAGCCAAGAGCGGGCCTTTTTTGTCCCCCTTAAGAGCAGCTTCTTCTTCCCCAAAGAAGGTCTTCAGTTGTTTGATTCCCTCTGGAGCAAGTGATTCTGTGAACGAGGTGGGAACCAGAGGTTAAGGTGTAAATATGTGTCGGTGGGGGGAAGTAAGATGATAGCATTGAAGAAAATCAGTCTCTCAAAAAAGGAGAGAGGCTGTTGTAACCTGAAGATGGGGAAAGAAGTAGTGGATTCAAGCTGGTGGGGTGGAGCTTGAAATTTTTTTAGAACTCTTCAGTATCCCACCTGCAGTCTCATCACTACTTGTCCAATAGGGTTGCCAAACCCCCCGGTTTGCCAGGGGTCCCCCGTTTGGCCGGCGGGGGAAGCCCCACCCCCAACACCCACAGCCACCCATCTCTCTACCTTTAAGTGTGTGCAACCCGTGTTTCATCCCAAGCACGAACTCCGCAAGCTTGCAGGGAAAAGCCAGCTTCGTTTTTAAAAGGGAAACGCAGCTGCTCTTAAAGGGGAAATGCTGGCTGCCGGCTACTTTAACTGCAGGGAACTGCCGTTTCTGGAGATCC